ATATGTAGTTGTGTGTGTCTTGTGTGTGTGTTTGTGTGTGTGTGTATTCATATATATATATATATATATATATACTTATATACCTCCGATCACTTGCTCCTTGCGCCGTCTGCCGAGTGTAGTATAAGAGGTGAATGTCAGCACCAGCAGCTGCTCAATGGAGGTTGCCATGGATACGCTGAGCGTTCCGCTTGCGCGGATGATACTACACATTGCCTCCAACCACGATGGCACACCGTCGCTGACAGCACTGGACACCCCCGAGGCCTGTAGTCTGTGTAATGGATATGAAATATGTTACTATAGTTTATTTGGTGGATTTGTTATATGTTGGTGTATAGTACAACAACTGTAAGCAGCATTCAGTATTCGTGTTTCAGGATATGTGCTGGATAGAGTAAAGGTTCTTGAGGACTTATAGGGTTTGTAGGGTATAAAGATATGGGCTAGTATTTCGACAAGTAATATTACGGTATATTATATAGCCCGCACAATGTAGAATGTATATTGAAATCATATCATTTGAAGTGTATTCCATGGTTCTGAGATAGTTATCGGTTTATTGTACGACACAATCTCTGCAGTGTATCTGGTGCGTGATAGTTACCGATAAAGATGGTATAAATGGAATATATATATATATATATATATTTATATATATATATAAGTACGTATGTAGTTGTGTGTGTATACATCCGGGTATATGATAACTTACTGTGCCAATGACTGAGTGATACTCTGTCCAATGTCTGTGAGGATCACATCCATCTCCTCTTGCTTCAGAAAGCGCTTGCACGGAAGTGACAAGTAGCCGTACCCACAGATCGCTGAACTGCGAGACATGGGTGATGACTTTTTGTAGCGAATTATACGCCGAAAAGAGGTCACGAGTGCGTCAAACACTCGCCGCGCTGCTGATTCTGAAAGTGATAAGTTTGCGAGTTATAGTGAATAGAAATGGGCGCATAAATGACCTGTTTGTGTACAGAAGTATACACCCAAGTTGATAATAATGAACTATATTTGCATATGTGTGTGCAGGACATGGGCCGTGACTTTCTGTAGCGGATGATACGCCGAAAGGAAGCGATCAGTGTGTCAAATACACGCCACGCTGCTGCTTCTGTACGTGATAAAATTGGGGGTTCTTGTGAATAGAATTAAGTGCATATTTGATCTGTTTGTGTACGTAAGTACATACCCGGGCTGATAAAAGTGGGCATATTTGGCTTGCTTTGTATAAACGTACATACCCGAGATTGTATAAATGGACTATATTTGACCAATTTGTCTATACAAGTAGATACCCGTGTTGATGAAAATCTACTATATATTAGACCAGTTTTTAAATCAAAAACATACCCGAGGTTGATAAAAATGTATCATGTTTGGCCTATTATTGTACATATACACTAATCGGGTTGATAAACATTGCCGATAACTGTCCAATTCGTGTGCATAAAGATATGCATCCCAGTTAATGTAAATGGTTTCTAATAAACCATCTGTGAACAACTAAACCAGTACGTACTAAACTACTAAGGTGGGACATAAAAATAACATAAATACGCACACTCTTAGTTAGATCATTCTTGCGTTGTTCTGTGAAGCTCGACCCGACAGCAACCGCTCAGCAACAACAGAATTGACCACGCCACATCGAGCTTACCTTTTTAAACACCATAGAGAGACTTGTACTATGTAGTAAGCAACAATTGCATTCCTTTTATACAATTTTTTGTAACCCAATTTATATACAATTTTATCTACACATCTTTTTTGGCACTCCTTTTATAATCTCCTTTTCACACACACACACACACACACACATACACACACAC